AGCAGGAGCTGGTTGCATGATCCTCTTTAAGCATGCTCATGGCAGTACTTGGAGAGCTCTGCATAAAAAAAAATATTGAGCCTCAAACCTGAGATTTCCCTTCTCAGATACGCTCTTGACCAGCTCAGTATCTCTGCAGAAATTTCACATTCCAGCATACAGGAACATGAGATTAGTCCACTAAAGTTTCCGCTTAAATGCAGCGGTAGTCTGGACTGGGTGGCTCTTCACAGCCATGTGTCTGAAAGTAGCCATCGAGCAGAAAGTGCATTTAGATACCTGCAAACAGCATAGAGCAGCCGTGTACTCCCTCCCCACCTCCTCCCACTCCGCTATCACCCCAGTTGCTCTCCTGAAGAGAAAATTTTTTCCTTGAAGGTGTCCAGCAAAGCACGTGGCTTCCAAGAGCACATTTAATAGAAGGAAGCAGATTCATTTTAACTGAAGTCAGCCCACATGCTGTCTCTGCTAACAAGCCACAGACACCACTTGATCTGCCAACAGGCCCTCATCATAATACCCAATACCTGTAACTCCTGAAGAAGTCTAATTTACACCACCACCAGCTTCTTCAAGGAGGTTCATGCCCAAAGCATGCTTTTGGCCTCCTGGGTCCAGTGGTGGCACCCAACAGTTAAGTAAAGCTGTGCTCAGTTGCATCATAGCCCTGACACACAACCCCTGCCCCATAAATACCAGGTGTACTTTATTACACAGTAATGCACATAATGGGAGAAAGACAAGTATTTAAAGGTCTGGATCTTTTGGAATTTCAGAGTAAAGCAAAGCAAGGGATGATTAATGCCACCTGCCCCTGCTTTTCCCCCCCCACCCCCTTTTATCATGATCTCTCTACAGCTACCTTCATATTGAAGCATTAGAAATGTAGTGTAGAAAAAACGGTGTTTGCCATTTTGTCTTGTCCTGTGCAACTGAGGACAGGGGGGAAGATTCATTTACCCCGTTCACCATCTTTTGGTACACGAGCACATCTTACCCAGCCATTAATGCCCAATCCAAACAACGGGGGCAGAGTTTCCAAGGTACCACTTAGCTACTTGAGATAAACACGACATTAAAAAGGGGGGGAGGGGGGAAAACCCGCAATAGCGTACATGAATGACAGGCTTCCCTCCCCATCACAAACAGCCGTGGCCTCGGCAGCGCTGCCCCGCAGCCTCCTCACATCACACCGCACCAGCGCGGCCCTGGCTCACCTCCCCGGGGACAGCACCCTGCTCCTACTGAAGCACTCAAGTGTGGAAAAATGGTATTTAAAAAGGCTCATGAAGTGCATACCGCCCCCCCCCCCCCCTTTTTTTTTTTAGGGAGGTTCCTTTTTCTCCCTCTTTCCTTTCTTTGTTTA